TCAAAATAGTATGATGCAAATGTTGTCACTTCTTCCACAATATATGCATTACAAATTGAAGCTTCGACACATGCCTTATTCTTCACTTTTTTCTTCAAATGATATAAGAACCTAGTTGCAATACAAAAAAATTTATCGGAACATAATATATAATGAAGTACTTTAAAATTTATTTAACAAAAAACTTACCTCTCAAATGGATACATCCATCGAAATTGGACGGGACCTGCAACTTTGGCCTCATAAGGCAAGTGAACTAAGAGATGCTCCATTGAATCAAAGAACGATGGAGGAAATATCCTTTCTAAGTTGCAAAGAATAATTGGAATATCTCTCTCTAGTTTCTCCATATGTGATGCTTTCAACGCTGTTGAGCAAATATCGTGCAGGAAATTACTTAACTCTGTAATGGCGCCCCAAACAAAGTTTGGTAAAAGTTCCTTGAAGGCTATTGGAATTAGTCTTTCCATAAATACGTGACAATCATGACTCTTCAGACCTATCAACTTGCATTCATTCAAATCAACGCATCTCCCTAGATTCGAAGCATATCCATCAGGAAATCGCACCGATTTCAACCATTGACAAACGACCCGTCTCTGCTCCTTGTCCAATGTATAAACTGCTTTTGGTTTTGGTCCCCTGCTGCTTGCATCCACATCTAGTGTTGGCCGATCGCAAATATCCCTCATATCTTTTCTTGCGTTCAAGTTGTCTTTTGTTTTTCCAGTGACATCCATCACAGTATTTATGACATTATCGAAAACGTTCTTCTCTATGTGCATGACGTCAAGATTATGATGAATAAGATGTGCCTTCCAATATGGTAGATCCCAAAATATACTGCGCTTAGTCCATTTATGTGTACTTCCGTACCCAATAGTTGTGCCGTGAGGGTTTTCAACAACCGTTGGAAACTCCTGCACTCGCTCCCAAATTTGATCACCGGTCAACCTCAATGGTGGATGTGTTCTTTCGATCCTATTCTTGATAAACTCTTTTTTATTCCTTCTGAATGTATGCTTTAGCGGCAAAAATTGCCTATGACAGTCAAAATAGCTGGCCTTCTTACCGTGCTTTAATCGAATGACTTCGATATCTCCATACATATCGGACATCCTAAGATCCCAGTGTACTCCATCCAGATAACATTCCATAATTGGAAAGTCATTTATCGTCCAAAGAAGAGCAGCCTTCATTACAAATGTTTGATCGGTAGAAACGTCATACGTAGGGACACCTTCATCCCATAGCCGTTGTAACTCTTCAATCAATGGTTGCATATAAACATCTATCAACTTTTTCGGATTTTGCGGGCCGAGGCACGATCAATGTCAAAAACATATAAGGTGTCTTCATGCACATACCGGGTAGAAGATTGTACGGAGTTAAGATAACTGGCCAACATGAATAACTTTTTCCTGATTTCCCAAATGGGGCAAAACCATCAGCACACAGACCTAACCTGATGTTTCGAGGCTCTATCGCAAACTCGGGATATGTTCTATCAAATTGTTTCCATGCCTATGCATCTGAAGGATGACACATTAGATCCTCTTCTGTTTCATGATTTGCATGCCAAGTCATGTGTTCAGCAGTAGCTTGAGACGCATAAAGCCTTTGCAACCTAGGGATTAAGGGCAAGTAGAACATTTGTTTACATGGTCTACGCTTCTGATTACGACCTTGCCGCCTGTTAATCTTGTACCTAGGTTGGCTGCAGAATTTGCAAGATTCTGCATTTTCATCATCTCTCCAATATAACATACAACCCATACTACATACATCAATCCTTACAACTGGAAGACCTAAATTTTCCACTAGCTTTTTCATATCGTAAAAGTCACTTGGCATGATGTTATCACGAGGCATTGTTTCCCGCATTACTTCAACAAAAGAGTTGAAACAATCCACATACACATTATGCTCTGCCTTGATATTTAACAGTCTTGCTGTCACTGATACTTTCGTGTGGTTGTCACAACCTGCCCATAAAGGTTCATCTGCTGTTTTCAACTCTTCCCATAACCGATTAGATTGAAAAGTTCCATCACACACATTCTCATCAAAACCTGTAACTCCTGCCTCTTCCAATTGTGATGCATGACTAGTTCCCACTTGTTCAAGTGGAGGAGTTAAACTAGTACTTGCATGATTCGATTCTGGAAAAAAATTATGGCCTGCTTCATCAAACACCATCCCCTGATATGGATTCAATTGGTCATAATAGCTACATTCTTCCCTAACAAACATTTGGTCGCTTCTTCGATATCCGCCATCAGATATAAATGGTTCACCGTGGTAAGTCCAATTATAATAGTTCGGAGTAAACCCAAATCTACAAAGATGTTCTCTAACTATGTCAATGTCTTGAAATTTTCCATTACTGCACTTTCTACATGGACACCTTAACTTATTTCCATCCATGAACTCATATTTATTACTAGCAAAGTCCAAAAATAGTTCCACCCCGATTCGAAACTCATCGGTCAATCCTTGACGTCCAGGTAGGTTCTTATTATACATCCAACCCCTGTCTCTTTGCATTGTGTCTGTATAAAAATAAAAAAATTCTCGTACAATATTAAAAATATCATATCTATTGTTTAATATTGTTAATTAAAACCATAAAATTCTAACAATTACAATTTTCTTTTTTACGAAATAATTACTTTCAACTTGAAAAAAATGAAAAAATTACCATGTCAAGAAAACTTACCAAGTATTTGACTGAAACTTTTGTAGTAGAAAGTGGTCTATTTGATGAGAATTGCAACGTTCACTTGGATTGCGAGACCTTCAAATAGACACGTACCTGAAATAAAAACAAATGACTTAAAATTAATTTTTTAATTATCTTTTATATTTTCTCTTTTTTTTTCTTTTTCTTTTTTTTTTGTCCTTTCTTCTTGGCCGGTCGCCGGTCCGGCGACCGGCGAGCTCGCCTGGGCAAGTTCTGGGCGACATCGAGCTCGCCGGCGGCGAGGCTGGCCCTGGCCGGAACCGGCGAAGGCGGAGCTCGCCATGGCCGGCGAGCTCGCCCAGAACTCGCCCAGATCTGGGCGAGCTCGAGCTCGCCAGTGCCGGCGAGGGCCAGCCAAGCCGCGGGCGAGCATTAGCTCGCCCGGATCTGGGCGAGCTCGAGCTCGCCGGCCATGGCGAGCTCGGCCCTCGCCCGGTGCCGGCGAGGGCCGTAAGCCGCCGGCGAGCTCGAGGTCGCCCGGATCTCGCCGAGTGCGGGCGAGCCGGAGCTCGCCGGCCATGGCGAGCTCGGCCCTCGCCCGGTCTGCGGCGATGGCCGGCCTAAGCCGCCGGCGAGCTCGAGCTCGCCCGGATCTCGCCGAGGTGCGGGCGAGCTAGAGCTCGCCGGCCATGGCGAGCTCCGCCCTCGCCGCCGGCGAGCTCGCCCGGATCTCGCCCGGATCCGGCGACCTCGAGCTCGCCGGCCATGGCGAGCTCGGCCTCGCCCGGTCTGCGGCGAGGGCCAGCCAAGCCGCCCGCTAGCTCGGCCCTCGCCGGTGCCGGCGAGGGCCGCCTAAGCCGCCGGCGAGGCCCAAATCTCGCCCACATCCGGGCGAGCTCGAGCTCGCCGGCGCCGGCGAGGGCCAGCCTCGCATTGTCGGCGGGCCGAGCTCGCCATGGCCGGCGAGCTTGGCCGGCGAGGCTAGCCCGCCTGTGCGTCGCGCGAGGTTGACCGACGGCCATGGCCAGGCCACCGGACCTCGCCCCATGGCCGGCGATCGGCCAAACCAGTGAGGAAAGGAAAATTTTTTTTTTAATAACACCAATTATGCGAAGAATAATTTTGCGACGAACCGTTTTCGTCGCCAATTATTCATGAAATTAGCCACGACACTTACCGGCGAAAAAGCTTTACCGAGATTGATTTGCGCGTGCACCGATAAGTAATTCGAGAGAAATTAAAGAGAGAGACGGAGAGAGAACAGCGAGAGGATAAGAGGAATCAGTCGACAGAGAGAAATTAGGGGTCGGGACAGATATCAAATACATCATATTTCGTATTGCAAATTTGCCACGAATAAAATTCGTCGGAAATTTCCGACGAAAATTTTTTCGTCGCAAAAATTCGTTGGAAATTTGCGACGAAAAAAATTTCGTCGCAAAAATTCGTTGGAAATTTGCGACGAAAAAATTTTCGTTGGAAATTTGCAACGAAAAGTTCCACGAAAAATAAAATCGTCGGAAATTTCTGACGAAAATTTTTTCGTCGGAAAATTTCGTCGGAGATTTCCGACGAAAAATGCTCCGTCGGAAAATTTCGTCGGAAATTTCCGACGAAAAGTGCTCCGTCGGAAATTTCGTCGGAAATTTCCGACGAAATATTTTTCGTTGGAATTTTCGTTGCAAATTTCCAACGAAAATTTTTTCGTCGGAAATTTTCGTCGGAAAAACCCGATTTTTTTGTAGTGTTATATTGCTGGAATATAGTGGGTTATTGTTGGAATCAAGTCGATTTTGATCGGTTTAGTTTCGGGGGAGATATTGATCATGGATTGGCTTGGTTCTTGGTGAATCGTTGCCGCGGTTCTCCCCAACACATTGTGTATGAGTTATTTGGACTATGGGGTGACTGGTACTGGTCATACACAATCATTGACTCCTGAAGTGAAGGTTCATCATAAAAGAGGCAGCTTTAGTCGATTATGTTTCATTAGTTAGCAGAGTTATTCCGGGGAAAATTTCATCTCATGGCCACACACATGCATGAAGCTGAAACGGGAAACTATACAAGGATAAACTAGTTCAAACACGTTGCCTCCTACTGCCACTTTGTTCAAGGGCGCATCAGAACTTGAACTTTGAAAGCTTCCCTCCAAAAAATCTGGGGTTACGAATAAAAAACTGCCTTCATGGACAGAATCGGTGTAGAATATACCAGGAGAATAGCAACTTCAACTAGATTGAAGAGCCATTAGGTCGATTGAGTCTCTTAACACAAGATCCAAAGCTCCTTAACAATAAAGAAAACTCTTGGTAAGGGCTTGGTCAATGGCTGAAGCTGAACTGGTCAATCATCTTTGTCATACTTAGTGGGGTTATTAATTATAATCTCAACTCGTGTCTAGTAAACCATTTGAGCCGTTTCTCGAATGATGTGACAATGTAGCCAAAAGTCAGAACACCTCAAGACTACAAGGCATCAATTCTAGATGCTTCAGCTGCCACCTACGGAAAAGTCATACTTTAGAATGGGTTTTTACAGTTTATAAAACCTTGGTCAGGAACAAGTCATGTGCTCAATATCTTACTGCTGGGAAGTGGGTTAGTTTAATTACGAAGTAATTGACCCCACTTGCCTGTGTTTAGACATGTACGCACCTGTTCTGCAATAAAATCTTACATTTATAGGTGTCCCGTTTTTTGACCAATTTGACTTTTATAACTAAGCTCAAAGTCTTATATACGATTTAAGCTCGAAGCTCTTTCCATCGCTTGTTTTTGGAGACTAATTCCCTCCGAATTCTTATTTTCACTCAAATTCACAAGGAGTAGAAACTCAATCTTTCCACGGTTAGGCATGGTCTCCATCCCGATGAGGTTCCATCTCTTCTTACAATGCCTGTGCCTGTTGTCATCTCTGTCACTGGTCTTCACAAGCCAAGCAATCTCAATCCAAGAAGCAAGCATAAGTGATCTCCAGCTAGCATTCAAGCAAAACAAGCTCACTTCCAGGCAACTTACCCAGTTCTACCTCCGCGAAATCCACCGACTCAATCCAGTCCTGAGGGCTGTCATAGAGGTGAACCCAGATGCACTGAACCAAGCCGATGGGGCGGACCGGGATCGTAAGGCCAAGAAACACGTTTCGCTCTCCAGCTTGCATGGAATTCCTATACTGCTCAAGGATAGCATTTCGACGAAAGACAAGCTGAACACCACGGCCGGCTCGTTCGCACTGCTTGGCTCAGTCGTGGCTCGGGATGCAGGGGTGGTGGCTAGGTTGAGGCGAGCTGGTGCTGTCATAGTGGGGAAGGCCAATATGAATGAGTGGTCAAGTTTTAGGTCTTTGACTCAACCAAATGGTTGGAGTGCAAGGGGTGGACAAGGCAGGGTGAGTATTTTCTTCCAATTAAGTGCTTCTTACCAATAGACAACTGCATTTGTTCATGCAACTCTGTACTTTTGTCTAATCCTAAGTTTTGCCTTGATTGCATCGCAGAATCCTTATGTGCTTTCTGCAGATCCTTGCGGTTCAAGTGGCGGGTCGGCAATATCAGTGGCGGCAAATATGGTGGCAGTGTCACTAGGAACTGAGACTGATGGCTCGATCTTATGTCCTGCCAGTGTAAATTCAGCAGTAGGCATCAAACCAACCGTTGGTCTCACTAGCCGAGCCGGGGTGATTCCGATCACACCCAGACAAGACACCGTTGGGTATGTCATGTACATCATATTGCTCTTCAGCAGTATCAAACCTAAGATTTTCTACGACGACGACTACACCGTTACAATCCTTGCCTATGCTAAATGGTTAAATTTCTAGAACAGATCATTCTTCTCAATGATTCGATGTTTGTTCCTTAAATTGGAAAGAAAAAAGAAAACTAATTATCCATGAAGTTCGTGTTCTCTCTACTTCAAACTGAAGTCTCACTATAAGGTCTCACATTTTGTTATCCTTGTTGACACGAGTTGTGAAGCAAAGTCGTTAACAATTTAAATGTAACAGGCCGATATGCAGGACCGTCTCAGATGCTGTTTATGTTCTTGATGCAATCGTAGGCTATGACCACAATGACGCGAAAGCCACAAGAGAAGCGTCAAAATACCTTCCGCAAGGTGGATACAAACAGTTTCTCAAAGTTCATGGTCTCCACGGCAAGAGACTGGGTATCGTGAGACATCCATTCTTCAATTTCACCGATAAGCCCAGCCAAGCTCTAGCTTTTACAAAGCATTTTGCAACACTGAGGTACGGAAAGTTTCTTCACCGCAGTTTATTTGGACTACAATCACGGCCAACGTCGGTCACATGCCATTCATAGATGATGACACGAGTACATTGTTAATGCTAGGCAAGCAGGAGCTGTCTTAGTGGATAATCTGAAAATTGATAACATAGATGTGATCTTGAACTTCAATTTGAGCGGTGAAGGAACGGCATTGCTCGCGGAGTTCAAAATAGCCCTGAACGCTTACCTTGAGGAGCTAGTGTCATCGCCAGTGCGGTCCTTGGCAGATGTAATAGCTTTCAACCAGAAAAACTCTAAACTGGTACGAATATTACTTCGGTTCATTGACCTAGTTCGACCCTCCTGAAAGTTTGAAATGACAGAATGCTCGAAACAATCACACAGGAAATGACCGATCGGATAGACCAAAGCATCTTGTTGGCGTCTGAAATCACGAACGGGATAGGGAATGCGGAGAAAGCGGCTTTGTCGAATCTAGGAAAGCTAACAAGAGACGGGTTCGAGAAGTTGATGATGCAGTACAATCTAGATGCTGTCATGACTCCAGGATTTGACTTCGCTCCTGTTCTTGCCATCGGCGGATTCCCCGGAATCAGTGTCCCAGCCGGTTACGACACCGAGGGCGTGCCCTTCGGGATTTGCTTCGGAGGGCTGAAAGGTTCGGAGCCGAAGCTGATTGAAATCGCATATGGATTTGAGCAAGCTACTAAGATCAGGAAGCCTCCCTCGTTTAGGCCTTGAAGCTCCCTGATCAAGCCTGCCCTCGTTGCAACTCTTCATAATCACTACTTGCTCGTTTCGTTCGTTGACAAAGAATAACAAATGATTCCCAAGTCCAAGAAGAATCGGATTCTTTTTCCGTTGTCGGATGCCAAAAAGCTTTTGGATCTTTAATGGAGGACACATCTGAATCATTGATCGTTCAATGCTAAAATTTACTCTCTTTTCTCTATATTCTGTGTTTTCTTTTTGTTCTCCGTCTCTTCTTTTCCTTTTGGTATCGATTTCTCTTTCTCGCCTTTACTACTTCGTTGTGTTTGTGTGCATAATCCTAACATGGTGACCTCGTGGACATACAGTAAAGGATTTTACTATAATAAGCATATTTTAAAGAGAAAGAAATTATATATAATCAGCAGTTATTCGTAGGCTCAAACTCAAATTACCAATAAAATACGGGCCCAATAATCCAACACATAGCTGTAACCCGCCCATCACCATCACAAGCCTTCGATGTCGACCTCGGTCCGCCGGCGACGTCAACCCCTTCCCTGTTCGAGTCGTTTGCTGCACCTCTGTGTCATTTTTCCTCCGCGGGGCGCTCGAGGCGCTTGCGGTTGCGTGAGGCCGGCCACCTCTATGGACAAAAATGTGAGAATTGTATTCCATGACTAATTCAAATTCATTTTCTAAACATGCAAATGTGAGGAATTGGAGTCGTTCTGGTTGAATAGTTGGACTTCCCATTTGAATTACTAAGGCGAAAGCACCTTCAATAGGAAAGTGACACGTGGCATTACACAAACGTCTCTCTTCTTTTCCCATTTTGACCTTTTCCCATTTTTACTACTTTTTTTTTTTGCTTTATCAATCATGAACACCTGGACATATGAAAATAAAAATTCTAAAAGTGCTAATTTTGTTTTTTCTTCTTGTACACAGCAATATTGACGCGCATAAAGTGCTAATTCTAAACTTCTTAGTATGACCACGAACGTTGTAAAGTTTCTTGGTCGCACTAAACTTAGGCTCCGTTCGTTTGGCGGAAAATATTCTCTCGGAAAATATTTTTCGGGTTTTCCGGTGTTCGGGGGGCGGAAAACGTTTTCCGTGGGAAAATATTTTCCTTCCCCCCTCACAAAATAGCCTAAGTCTACGGAAAATGACTTCCGCTTCTTCAAAAACGGAAATCATTTTCCGGAGCTTCTTCTTCTTCTTCTTCTTCACTAAGGTCGCCGCCGCCGACGGTCGCCCTGCCGCCGCCGCGCAGGTCGCCCCGCCGTTGCCGCCGGTTGCCCGCCGCCGCCACCCGCCCCGCCGCCGCCGGTCGCCGGCCGTTGTCGGCACCCACCGCGGCCCGGTCGCCGCCGCCCGATGGCGGCCGCCGCCGCCGTCGCCGGCGGCCGCCGGGCAGCCGGAAGTTGGCCAAATCGGTCGCCGCCGCCGCCGCCGCCCGACGCCGGACGTTAGCCGTCGGTCGCCGCCGCGCCGGTTGCCGGCCGCCCGTCAAGTCGCCGCCGCCGCCTCCGATGGCCGTCGCCGCCTCCGGTGGCCGTCGCCGCCTCGGTCGCCGCCGCCGGCCGCCCGCCGGTCGCCGGCAGCTGCCGCCCCGCCGCCGCCCGATCACCAAACCGCCGCCGGATGCGGACATTGGCCGTCGGTCGCATGCCGGCCAGCCGGGCAGCCGGGCGTTGGCCGTCGGTCGCGAAACGGCCATTCTTGCCACCATTGTCGCCGCCGCCGCCGGACGCCGCCGCTGCCGCCCGCCTCCGGTCGTCGGTGAAAAATATTTTCCGAAACTTTTTCATATTGGTCACCAAACACCGGAAAATTATATTCCGGGAAATCATTTTCCAGGAAAATGACTTTCGGAAAAATATTTTCTAAAAGGAGAATATTTTCCGCCAAACGAACGGAGCCTTAGATACAAATGATAATTTAAACTCGTATGCTCATTCTTGCACAAACTTGATGGCCGTTTTCTTGTTTCTTTATTCTTTTCCTCTCTTTTTTTTATACTTTTTTATGCCTCCGACACTTGCCTTTACTTTTGCATGGCCTTTCTTTTTCGTGTCCCGTCTCTTTCCTCTTTTTCTTATCGAAATTATGCAAATCACATTCACTAGAAAGTCCAACACACAGTCCAAAAAGTCATAAATTTATTGTACGATAGTGGCTAATGAAATCATAAACTTTTCAATATGATCAATTTAGTTTTTAACATTATAACAATTTGTTAATATAGCAGTTCTTCCGACCAAATTAAGCCTAATATCGCTAATGTAGATGTTAATCATCTTAAGTGACATGACAAGCGCTGATGTGGGAAATTTTTCGAATTTCTTTTTTAATTTTTTATTTCTTTTCTTTTCTTCTCCTGGTTCTTCTTCTTGGAAGGGCCGGTGGCCTTGCCAGCCACTAACTGAGGCCTAGCGAGGGCTTCGCAGGCTCTTGCCTAGTGATGGCCTCGAGAAGATGAACAATGGAAAAAACAAAAAATAGAAAAAAATAATGAAAATTTTAGAATATTAAAAAAATTGTAAACATTGTCTACATTAGCGGTACATGTCCCATGTGGGACGGCCGACATTAACGTTAGAAATTTCTAACCAGATTTGGCCGAAAGAACTACATTGGCAAATAGTCAAAAGATTTAAAAGTAAATTGAACAAATTGGAAAGTTTAAGACCGAATTAGCCAAATTGAAAAGTTTATGATTAAATTGGCCACCGCGCAATAGGTTGGGGCTTTTTGAACAATTATCCCCGGTGTACATATTAGAGAATGGTGTTCTTGAAGCTTCACTACTTGGGGATGATTCTTTCATCTTAGGCCGAAGATCTTCCGATTCTTGTCTTCGCGCCTTACCCCTGTTTGGGATGGTCAGAACCAGGTCACCTGAAACAAATGAATTGCTCAATGCGGCCAGAAGGGTACGGCTCGTGTTTGGGATAGCGAAATGAATTGCCATTCATTGTTTCAGGTATATCTGCCTAATCAAATCATTTTCAAATCCTAGAACATGTTCTTTGCAGATCTTCCTGCTATGGCGCTACTACATTTCCTTCTTCTTCCATTCTTTCTGCGTATGCAATCTGACGCTCAGAAGAGTGTCCTCACCATCATCGTCCACGTGCACTGGTTTACCAAATTTGTCTGTCCAGCCTTTAGAATTGGTTTTCACGTCCACTCGAGAGAGGGTGCCCTTTCCAGGTGGAGTTGACCACACCCGGTTATCTTGATGGGGTTATATTCTAAACAGAATCAGAACAATCACACAGACAATAGAAAAATTGACACACGAGTTTACCCAAATTCACCCCAGAATAGGGCTACGTTCTGTAAAGGGATTCCACTATGATATTTAGGTTTTACAACCACAATCACTCGTCACAATGATTTTTCATACGAGTACAATATATAGGACTTAAAATGAGCCCAAAGCCCAAATCTATCCGAATCCCTTTGATCCCACAGCAAATGGGTCAGCAAATCCGACAATGGGACTCCCGACATTCCATGTGTAGGGGTCACATGTCGTTAGTTCATACTTTGGTTTCCCTAAACTCACGTGGACATGCCTAGTATGAGAAACAAGGGTCCCCGAAGTATTTGCCAACTCCAACACATCTTTGAGCCCACTAGGAAATCAAATTCTCTTCATCCTGAAGATCACAGAAACCAGGTTGCCATAGGGAAGAGATCCCTTGTGCTTGCCTTCAGAGGCTTGGATATGATTGACCATAGGACCATTAATCTCCATCTATCCAAGCCTCCTTGGTCACACCATTCTCCAAGGTACCTCCCCCAGGAATCGTGAAATGAATAAGAAATTTGTGAAGGACACGAAATTTTAGGCTGGAGAGATCACTATGGGGATATAACGATCCTTAAATAGAAGGTTGAAGTCACGCTTGTCAAGCAGCAAACGTTAAGCATCAAGTTTGGAGGTTTTGAATTTGGTCAAGCCAGAGAGGGGCAAATCAAAGCATTCTGTTATATTTTCTGCAGTTTTGGTGTATGAAGCATTTCCCACATTAAAAGCCAAGACATTTGTCTGTTTGGGGTAAGATTGGAGTAGACAACATACACAAGCATAGGATAAGATTTTTTTTCCAACTAACACAGAGATAGAAAATGAAATCTTTCAAGTATGGGTTCGACTCCGATAGAATGCTTTCGCGGCAATTTCAGGTCTACTACCCTACCAGAACAGCCTCGCGCGAGTAATTTTCAAGATCAAAGCGCATCGCTTGCTTAGGTTTTTTGATGAGAGAAGAAGTACACCATGAAGCATGAACCGCCATAACTGGATTGCGTTTGCTTGATCGATTCATCAATTGCCAGTTCCTCCATAGGTTTCTCCTAATTTTTCTCACTTGCTCTGAAGGAAGATGAATCTTCTAAATTTTCCTCTAGGTCCAACTCAGAGTGCGAGTCACCCTCATTCACATGTTGCTTCCTACTATCTCGCCAAGCCCGCAGGCTTTGTTCTTTCTCAAGTGGTTATGACTTGAATGCAAATGCATGATAAGCTCAAGCACGCTTTTTTTGCGGGATTCAATGTACTTGGACTGATGCAAAAAATCGAGTTTCGGGTACAAATAGATCGTTCATTGTGACTTCAACGTAACCTCGACCAATGCATAATACCCTTAATGCAGTCGCAGTCGCTATTTGCACGACCGATACGATTGTATGAGTTGATCTGTGAAAAAATTACTTGCGTAGATAGTTATATCTACATGGAATTATATGAGTACGGGGGAGTAGAAGATATTGGTTTTCGAACTAGAGATGGGCCACCCATGATGGACGACTGACTGAACCCGGTCCATTATGTTTCAATGGAGCGAATGTAGGGCACGATCAGGGCGCAATGCATACATGGGGGCTATGCATGGAAGAAGAGTGCTCTTGCGCGTGTGAGAAACTAACGGGAAAATTATTTAAAAAGTCATAAATTTATTATACTTTTGCCAATTGAATCGTAAATCTTTTTAGGTTTTACTAATTGAGTCTATCTAACCAATTTTGATTGGAAATCACCGACATAAACACCGGCTATACTATGCGGTATGGCTGGCACTGGCATTGACATTTATATTTTAATTTTTTAATATTTTGTTGAATTGTTTTATTTTTTTCTTTTCTTTTTTCTCTTTTCCTTCTTTTCTTTTTCTTTTTTCATTGTGGCCGCCCCCGCTGGTCGCGGGCGAGGTCATCACAGCCATGAGTGAGGCCAGCCTTGCC